CAGGCCAACAATAGAAAGTATGAAGCCTTATCTTGTACGTGCTCAACAGGGGACAGCTATTCCTGTTTTCAGCCACTCATGCAGGTGGTAGATATCTGCAAAGAGAAGACTGTGTCCTATTAAGGCCTCTCTTTTTCTGGACTCAACATCTCCAGTTCCTCACACTGAGCCCCTTTGCTCATAGAGGACAGTCCTCTCCCTTCAATCACTCTCCACAGAAGGCATTCCAGGTTGCAATTCCCCCTTACAGTGTGACACTGAGGTGGGTGACACTAGAGTCTGACCAGCATAATGTGTGTGTGTGTGTGTGTGTGTGTGTGTACCATCACCTCCCTGTATTCTAAATACTGTCCTTTGATGATGCAACCTGAAGTAGCATCAGGTTTGGGGGTACTAACAACCCTAACCATAGCTCATTGAGCACTTACTGTATGTGCCAGGGACTATGCTAAGGATAACATGTACACTGACTCACGGAATCCACACAGTAACTCTAAGGGCAGAAATTACTACTCTCACTTTGATGCTGAGAGATGTTGTAAGGGGAAGGTCAGCACAGCTGAAATATGGGGGAGCTGAGATTCCATCTCTAGTTATCTTACTCTGGAGCCACAATCTTAACCTCCGCCCCATACTTCCTCCCACAGACATTAGGAGCTTACTCAACTCAAATCTTAGGTCTATTCTTCTCTTCATGGGATTTTAACAAACGAAGTCTTCCCAATCCTGCTCCTCTTCAGCTGCGTTTTTGAATAGGACCCCATAGCCTATGTCCACTCAGTGTGATTGTATCAGATTTAATCCCATCCAGCTTCAAGTCGTTGGCAAATGCAATTTGATAAGTTGCTGTTGAGGAGGAGGAGAGCGAAGCCAAGGGCAGAGCTCTCTGACAAGCCATCAGATACATTTCTCTCAAGTAGTCATTTCCTAATGGGGGTGATGCTTGACCTGCTACCCTGCCACCAAGCTGGATTAACATCCAACCTCTATGTCTCTCTCTCACTGACAACTACTTCTTAAAATATCATATGGCGTTTACGGTCAATATCTACGGCTAAGATCCATTCCGAGGAAGGCTGCCCGGGAAGAATTGTGGATGGAAGGCAAGTGGGTATGAGAAAGAAAAAATATGATGGTCTTGAGTGTTAAAAAAAATTTTCAGGAGAAAATCTCACCTTCCCTTCCAGAAGACACTTAAGTTGAGGAAATATGTAGTTTGAGGCCAAAAGATGACCAGATCTCCAACCAAACAGCCTTCCCTGGGACCCACACACGTCTATCTAGCCCCATCCCAGCCCTGGTATCGCACAAGGGCAGGACTCAGGGGAGCCACTGGCATTCGGGAGCAAATCATCTTCTCTTGCCTTTCTCTCCATCGGCTGGAAGAAGGCACTGTTGTTCCTTACGCTTTGGTACCTCTACTAACACTGAGGGAAGACTGACCATGAAATTTCAGCCTTTCCTATTGGAGAAGAATGAAGCCCAAGGCCTGTCTCATGAGTCTTAGTCTGCTAGTCTCGCAGAACTGTGAGTCCACTTGATATTAATCCATTCATCAACCCCATCACTGGTCCCACTGAGGGGTGACGTATACCTGTGGAGAAGAAGACCCTTTGCCTCAAATATAAACAGAGGAGCGCTTGACATGCCAAGTGCCCTGGGCAGAAGCTCTCAGGCCCTGCTAGGCCACTGCTGTGAGGCCCTGCAGAGCCAGCAGGGCATTCTGGGTAATGGAATGCAACATGATGCAGCTCCCGTTCCCCCCTCCCCTCCACGGCCCTCCACGGGCCTCCTCGGGGTGTCTTCACTTCTGGCTCTGCAAGCGCTGAGGCAAGCAGTTTCTGAACTGGGGGGAAAGGGTGGAGAGAAGGGGCGGAGGCTTCCTCCAGGCCAACCACAACGAATTCATTCACTCTGTCCAGCAAAATTCAGACGGTGCAATTATCTGGTTAATTTGGCCCTTAGTTGGGAGACAGACTTCCAAAATGCGGGGAGGCCAGCTCAGACTAAACAGTGGCTTCCACCCTAAGTCTTCTCCGAAGCACTAGAGGATGCATATGAGATTCCTGGGGGTTGCTTATGTGACCCACCCATTGGTCCAGATGGGAAAACGACAGACAATTCAGACTCTAAGATGGGGTTCAGGACGGCATGTTTTCCACGGAAAAAAATGTCCAAATGACCTGCTAATTGGTCTCCTGGCTAATGTGCCTTCTGGCTTCCATGGAGGGGAATGGCTGGAAAGGAGGAGGACTCGAGTTAGCCAATGTTTTCCAGTGGGATCGTCGCCCTCTTACACTGGCTGAGTGTCCCCAGAGCCCCAAGGGGAGTTATTCTTAGGGCGATTCCCTCAGATGTTCCTGCTCATAGGTTTCATGCCCATAAGCTGGGCCAGGGGAGGCACTGACATAAGAATAAAATTAAAACGTGCCTCTGAGGTTTTCACAAATGGGATGAGACAAGGCTAGCGAAGCTGGCAACGGAGCAGGTAACAGATGGTTGATGGAAAACTCCGATTTTTGAAGGGAGATTAAGGAGCAGTGATTTATCTCCCTTGGAAATGGACAGCCTGGAATCTGTGGAACCTAGACGTGGTTCCGCCAGCGAATATCTGCTTCCGTCCCAGCATGTGCCAGGCCCTGCGCTACTTGAGAATGAGAACCAAGCAGCCAGGGTCCCTACCCTCATGCAAGGAATCGCACATCTACACAGGTGGGTAAACACTCCGGTCAGGGCCAGACAGGAAATGCTGGGAACAACCAAGTTACCTGATGGAGAGCAGGGTGTGAGGGCTTAGAGGAGGAGTCTTTGAGGAAGGGATTTTAATGTTAACCCTTCTAAGAATCTAACTTGCTTTTAAAGAAAGATCCCTCTGGCTTTAGTACAAAATATCAATTGGAAGAGGGTGAAAAGATGGCGTTAGGAGGCCGCTGAACAGGAAGACTGGATGAGAGCTGATGATGGTTCAGCCAAGAATCTAGGCCAGTGATGGCGAACCTTTTGAGCTCGGCGTGTCAGCATTTTGAAAAACCCTAACTTAACTCTGGTGCCATGTTACATATAGAAATTTCTTGATATGTGCAACCATAGTAAAACAAAGACTTATATTTTTGATATTTATTTTATATATTTAAATGCCATTTAACAAAGAAAAATCATGCAAAAAAATGAGTTCGCGTGTCATAGGTTCGCCATCATTGTGGGGATGGAGAGAAGGGAACAGCTAAAGAGAGAGGGGCTGCAGAGTCAACAGGATCTGGTCATTGCATGGGTGTATGGCAGAAGGAAAGGGAGGGATGCAGAGACCACGGGTTTCTGGCTAAGGTGGAAGGTAGACCGTGGCCCCCTTCACTGAGAGAGGAAACTTGGGATGATGAGTAGGTTGGGGTTGGAGAACATCATGTGTCCCATTTTGGAGTCAACCAAACTGGATTCCCCACCACTGCACACCCTGCACTTCTGGTCTTAACTCTGCTCACATCGCTTCCATCTCATACACTCCTCACGTTGCCACCACTTGTAGACAGCATAGCCATCCTTCAAGACCCACTGCAAATAGCACCCTCTCCTCAAAGCCACTCCTGGCTCCCTCGACTCGTGTGGCCTCTGCTGCCCACAGTGCTAAGTCTGGACCTCCCTTTCCTGGACTCCACCTGTGTGGAGGCCCTGGGAGGACTTGCTTTGCCTCCTTTTCTAGACCATAAGCTTTTTGGGACAGAAGCTCTGCTTCTATATCCTCGTCACCACCGCCCCCCCCCACCCCCACCCTGGCTAGCGAGTAGCACAGTAGACGTTCGACAAATATTTGTTAAGTGAACGAAAATAACCTGCTCTTTGCCAGGGAAGGAAAACCAGTGGACATTGGACAGACTTGAAAGCCACAGGATCCAATTGAAATTCAAGTTGTCGGAGTTTTAATACTAAGCCAACTCAAATTAGATGCTCAGAAAGGCTTTCGGCTCCTCCAGCACATCAAATTCAGAGCGCTGGAAAAGTCACACCCCTCTATTTTATTTATTGCACTTTGCTGAGTTGATCCCACAGCAGGGACTTTTCCTATGTTATTAACTGGTTGCCTTTGGTGATGATGGTGGTGGTGATGATGATGATGATGATGATGATGATAAAAGGGTGACATTTACTAAGTGTTGGGATGTGCCAGGCACTGTTCTAAGTATTTTTCATGGACTAACTCATTTGATCCTCACAGCCACCCTATACGTTGATGCTATCATTACCCAAGGGTACACATGAAGACACAGAGAAACAGACAGCTTAGGCCACAGTTGGGATTTGAACCTAGAATCTGGCCCCAGAGCCCATGGTCTGACGTGCTAAAGCCAAGCACAGTAAGGTTCGAGTCCTAAGTTGGCCACTGACTCCCTGTGTAGCCTTGAGCAAGTCTGTGCTTCTTTCCCCACGAAATAGGGGAACTGAATATTGATATTCTTGCTAATTCTAAGAGCCAGTATTCATGATTCTAATCTCCTTTGAGGCTTTAAGTAATTTAATCCCAACAATGATACCAAAAAAAGCAAACAAACCCAGAAAATGATATCAAGACATTAAGTCATGTGCCCAATACCCAGAAAATGAGGGAGCCAGGATTCAAAACCACAGTGCTCCCAGCCCAAGCAGTTCCATGCTTCAGAGGCCAAGGCAGGGGTGTGGGGAAGTGGAATGATGGAGCGGATGGGCCTTTGGGCTCCCCACACCTCTTTCTCTCAGGGAAGCTCTACTTGTCTCTATTTTGTAGAATGGGCTCCTACTTAAGATATCCTTAGAATCGGGAAGGTTCGACTGCTAAAACAAGAAGGTTGAAAACCACTGGACTAAGTAATTCTGGGATTTAATGAGACTCCCAGGTATAAGCCAGGATTTTTCTGGTAATCTTGGTTCAGTAGAGCCACATAAGATTGGGGTCTACGGTTGCTCCTGGGAATGGCTCCAGCTATAGAAAAGGTCAGCATGACAGCGATAAAGACTCCGCTCCAACCTACCTGCTCCACTCGGATCTCAATCTCTCCATTCACCTTCTTTCCTTGGAAATACTTGGCCCTGTGAAGGAAAGGAAGGCATTTCTGAGTAAGGATGCAGACTGCTTTACCCTTTCTCCCTTCTCCCAAAGGCCTTATTGCCCCCAGAGGTGGGTATCCAGGCACATTCTCTACCAATGTGTTCTGACATGACCTCTGATTTCCTCAGTATTTATACGTATTATGCGAGAGACAGGGAAGAGTACTGATGGAAGAGTTGGAGACTCAGCTTCTTGTTCTGCCTTCCTGAGTCTCTGTTTTACCCTCTCTAAAAGAAGAAATGAATACCTGCATGCTATACTTCTAAGGGTTATTAAGAATCCTACATAAACAAATAGTGCAGAATTATTTTATTGAATTATACCCTATATATTTCATAAAGGGCTTATTAAATTGATCTATCCATTTACTTAATTTCTCAATTTGTCCATGTGTCCAGTGAAGTGGACCTTATCTGCTCCTTTGTCCATCCCTCCATTTACCCATCCACCCATCATCCATAGGCCCATCATCCATCCATCTTTCCATCATATTCACCTCCACACCCCTGCTTCTATCTGCCCATTACCAGTAAACGGCATCCCATCTACATATTACTCAAGGCAGAAACACAGACATCATTCTTACC